CTCTTTCTTCCAATATTACTTACCTTCTTTGACCTCTTAACCTCAGAATCTGTGGATTTAGGAGATTTCTAACCTCTACATCCCTAGAGATTGAATTTAACCATACGTTCTCTGGCACTTCAGAAGAATCAGAGTAGAAATAAAGTTTAGGGAATATGGGGGGGGGGTTCCTAAAAATAGAACCCAATTCATCCACTTCAGTTAAAAATGCCTTTATGTTTTCCAAGCATTTTTGAACTCTTAAACATTTTAAATAAGCTCACTTATGAGTCTTGTTGAAAAATAAATAAAATACACTTGTTTTCATTAAAGGAAGAGGTCTTTTTCTGTCTTAGTTGGTGTTGTTGAAGGAGACAAAACGGAGTCCAAAACTTGGCAAAGGAATACGTTATTAATGACATATTGGTCACAGATGTGCCGATAGACCTACATTTTCTTCCTGCGATTAGTATTTTTAAATTTCCACAAATTACATATGAAAATCCAGATAACCTCCTTCGAAAAGAGAAGGTTGAAATATTAAAGTATTTGCAAAGTCTTCATTTTTAAGGTATTCTAAGTGTGTTTTTATAAATAGGCAAGTGACACATGTTTATTTGCATGTTACTTTTTTAAAGGAGAAATAGTGCTAGATGATGCCAACCTGTACTTATTACCATCAGTTCCAAATGTTCTAAGCAAGTATAGCTACCTGGAGATACTTTTTGGCAATACTTGTGAATTATAAAATCCCTTCCCTTAACAATTCTTAAGGAAATCAGGAAGGCAAAACTCAAGAGGCAGACAGGAACTCTCTAGTAACATGATTGCTTGAGTAGGCCTTTAAAGCAGAGTGTGAGGAGTTTGGCCAAGTTGTGTTCAGTTGCAAAAAATGCTAAAAGGCCTTTAAGGGAGCATTGACAAGACAACTCTGGAAACAGGGTTAGGATTCACCTGAGGGGAAATGGTGTTGGCACCAGTATACCCATTAAGGTGGTTGTAATAGATGGATATAATTCCAGACCCAAGACTCTGAGTAAGGATGTAATGGAAGGAAAAGGTATTTTGTAAAAGAAAAAGGATCAAGAAACACATCTGATGGACATAAAAATAATAATGACAGACTAAAACTTTTATGAGACTTCTTATGAAGTTTTTTAGTCACCTCGATAAGAAACCTAGGCAAGGGAATAACTCCTAGAGGGATGATGGATGCATTGCTTTTCATCACATTTAAACTGACAAGCTAATCAATTTGAAATGTTATATTAATTGAAATTGATATGAAATTGAACAAAAGGGGAAAAGGAGATGGAGAAAAATTAGTGTACCAGCTATGGAAGAAACTGAATTATAACAGAGGGAGGACTATATGGCCAAGTTTCCTGATAGAAGATTATCTGTTTGTATCTTTAATTCAGTAATAATATGCATTTTAAGATGATTTAGTGATCTGATGATTGCATGGACAGATGGCTTTAAATCAGGAGCTCGTAATACACTTTGCAGCCCCAAAGCTATTTGATGTACTGTCAAGGTAGTTACAGTGCTCGATGCTGATCTGGTACTATCTGGTGTCTTGCACGTTATTTCAATGTGTAAGTTCAAGACGTCATACTGTATAGCTTTTAAAAAATGAACCTGTAAGAAAGACAAGTTCAAGCTCTTTTCATTCTCCAAGCACCTCATTTTTGTTGCTCCTCCCCCTAGGAAAGTGACAATATTGGAGGACCCCGATCAGAACATTCACTTGAAAAATCTGTCTCTTCATCAGGCAACCACGGAAGAAGAAGCTCTGAATCTGCTTTTCTTAGGAGACACCAACAGAATGATTGCAGAGGTAATAAACTTTTCTCTGCAAGCTGGTTTTCTATTCTATAAGATATAATAGAATTTTAGGGGCAGCAAAGACCTTAAAAATGATTTCATCTAAATCTCACGTTACAGCTTAGGAAACCTAAATCCAGAGATGTGAGAAGACTTTCTCAGATAGTTAATGGACTCTTTTAATTTTTATATTTTTCCAGTTTATACAAATTGGTTTTCAGTTCATGAATGACAACCCATTAAGTGTCTTAACTATAGAAATTACTGCATAAAGTTTGAAATTTAAAAATACACAATTCATTCTTCTTAATCTCTGATGATCCCTCGTCTATTGACATATGTTTACATATCTATGTATATTCACATATTTAGTGAATTATTATTTATAAAGCATTTAGAATAATGCATGGAACACAGGACGTGCTCTATGCATTTGCAGCTATTGCTCTCAGATCTGGGAACAGCACCATGGTGTGTAATGTAACCATGTCTCAGTGCAGTATTTGGGACATCCTTATACTATTTGTCGTTAATCTGACATCCAAACCTGGGCAGCTATATTTTACATGGGCACCCTAGGCAGGAGACGGGATTGACCCAGATTGGTCAGGGACCCTCATCTCAACCAGGGACTGATTGGAGATGGAGGGTCACGAAGCTCTTATCGGGTAACACTGCAGTGGAAGGAGCAGAGTGATGGTGGTGTGGGAATGGTTCCCCAGACATACAACTTACTGTTACCACTGACAGTTTCCTCTTTAAACCACACACCCACAGTTCTCTGTCTCTGATAACAAGCAGTAGGTGAGGATAAGAAGCTGGGAGGATAAGTAGTCTGAGAAAGTCTATCAACCTACCTTTCTTCTGCCCTATTTCCACCCTCTTGAATGCACCACGTTGGATACAAGATAGATAAATGAAAATCAAATTCAAATAGTGAAAATAGAGTATTGACGTCTGTTTTTGTGCTGCACCCTTAGTTTCATTTGTGGTGGTCATGGTGGTTTCTTTGCATCAGTATTTTCCAATAGACCAACATATAAGTTGAGCTTGTAATATGGATTTAAGGACCCATAAGTGATGATTTTCATTTCATTACATAGTTTTCATTTCAGAATGTCTTCTTTTGCTTTACAATGTTTTGCCTCAACATTTTGCCCAGGTGGTCATCCGTGATGCTCTTATTTGTCACAATAATTAAAGATTAAGGAATAAAGGCAGGTTAAGAATTAAGGAGTATAATGATGGAAGATTTAGCATGCCCAGTTAAAAGTCCTGTTTCTTCATACAGTTATAATAAATAGCAAACCAAGAGATGCAGAATATAGATGGGTCCTGCCCACCAATGGAATATGAAAAGGAGAAAAGGTAGATCCATAAATGTTATTGGAAAACCAAGTGGAGAAAACTGTCCCTGCCTCAGTGCTAACCTTCCTCCAGCAGTGACTCATCCCGAGAGAAAGCAAGGCCTTGTCCTCACAATTACATCCCTTCATCTTGAATGGGTTATTGAGGACTACTGGCCCTGATTCATCCTGATCTTCATTAGCTTAAAAGTGTGGCCATTGCTGTTTAGTTTGTTAACTTTAATCCAGTCATCTACCAATGGGCATTTTGGTTGTTTCCATGTCTTGGCTATTGTGAATAATGCTGCAATGAACATAGGGATGCATATATTTTTTTTCAAATTAACGTCTTGGGTTTCTCTAAATAGATACCTAAGAGTGAAATTGCTGGGTCATAAGGTAGTTTCGTTTCCAGTTTTTTGAGTCAACCCCCCAAAAAACAAACAACCCAATTAAAAAATGGGCAGAGGATATGAAGAGACATTTCTCTAGTTTGTTAACTTTAGCTGACTGCATCATTTCAAACTATTGTTTTGTAAAGTTTTGAGGAGCTCCAACTTCCTTGGTGAAAGTTTATTGTGTTCTACCACCTTACAAAAACACAAGTCTTTTCCTGTTACTTAATGATAAGTATATAATAATAGTATTATAAATAAGCTGAAACCTGAAGAAGTCCAATTTGTATAGTACTGGTATGCATTATTTTTTTACTGTATTCATTTTTCCTTACTGAAGCCTAATTTCTTGTAAAACAAGTCTAGTAGGTTTTGGATGTTTCCATGCTTGCTTCTACTTTTTCTTTGGTAATAAGAGCTACCCTGTTATATTGAGAACCTGCTCAATAGACTTGACATTGTTGTAGACACTTTATGAGGTATGCTCAAAAAATACAGTGAATGTTTAAATAAAAAATAATGTATTACAGTAAAAGACACATTGCCATTAATTCCCCTCAAAATACTCCCCCTCGCTTTGAACACACTCAGCCCATCATTCTTGCCTTTTTCTGAAGCAGTTCTGGAAGTCCTCTTTCGTGAGTTTCTTTAGTTGTGCTGTTATGGCTGCCTCGATGCCCTGAATCAATTCAAAACATTTACCTTTCATGGTCATTTTGACTTTGAGGAAGAGCCAGAAGTTGCACGATGCCAGATCCAGTGAATAAGGTGAATGAAGACACACAGTAATGTTTTTATTTGACAGAAATTACCTTCCAGAAGTGATGTATGATATGGAACCTTTCTGTTGTGATCACAAAATACAGTGAATGCTGCTGCCGAGTGCCATCCAACAGAAAGGCAGGGATCTTCAATACGGGAAGCGGTGCATCAAACCTTAGTTAACAGTGTGGGCAAGTTTCAACTTGTTCGGTGCAACCAGTCAGTTGTGAGCTACGGTCGAGAGAAGGTGTGTTTTAAAGTGTGCTGTCAATCCTCCTCCATGATGACAATGCTCTGTGTCACACATTGCTTCTGGTATATGGCAATTTCTGTCAAATAAAAACATTATGGTGTGTCCTAATCTACCTTGTTCACCGGATCTGGCACCGTGCGACTTCTGGCTCTTTCCCAAAGTCAAAATGATTCAGGACACCGAGGCAGCCATAACAGCACAACTAAAGACACTCACGAAAGAGGACTTCCAGAATGCTTCAGAAAGTGGCAAGAACAATGGGATAAGTGTGTTTGAGGTAAGGGGGAGTATTTTGAGGAAGATTAATGGCAATGTGTCTTTTACTGTAATAAATTTTTTTTTAAACATTCACCGTATTGTTTGATCACACCTCGTATATTTATATATTATTTCTGATTCTTATTTTATAGATGGAAATTGAGATTCAAAGCCTTAGAATACCTGCCCAATGTCTCACAACTAGTAAGTGGCAGAGCCAGGGTTCAGCTCCAAGTCTGACTGATTCAGAAGCTTATGTTCCTTCCTTATGCCACATTTTATAAGTATCATAATCAAATTGGCATATGTCAAAATTTCCAAGTGAGAACATATTTCTGAACTATTCAAAAAGTATAGCAAGTATTTAGCACTTCAGTTTATCACTTGAATTCATTGAAAGCAAATACATAAAAATATAAATGAAAAATAACTGTCAATCCCTGGAAATACTTTATTATTCAGAGTCTCTAAAATAGCATGTTTTAGCCTAGCTGTCAGAATGTAATTTGTCAGTGCAGAACGAGCTTACCAGGATAAAAAGACCATGCTATTCTTTTTTTTAAAACAAGGTTCCCAAATTCCCATTTATACAGAGAAATCCAGAAGTTGCCATGGTAACTAAAAAACATTTGCAAAACAAATTCTGAATATATGAGACACAAAATGAAGGGCTCTTTCCTTTTATATTGTCTCCCAAAGCTAACATTTTAAGGAAAAGTTATCAAGACTAACTTTAACCTCTTCTTATTTATTCAGAACTCTTAAATAATTTCAGTAATCCAACCAATGTTTTGAATAAGACCTTATTACATCATTAGGGTAAATTTTTTAAAAAGTTGAATTGCTGTGCCAAAGAGACTAAATGTTATAGAAGCTGAACTGTGTGTGACCCAGTGTCAAAGCCCTCCAGTAGCATGTGTGACTTGATACTCTTTTGTCTTATAGTTAAATGTTTCTATCATTCAAGCAAGCCTAATTGATCAAGACACTTTTCACTTGATTGTCAGACCCTGCACAGCCCCTTAGCTGGGACCATTTGCTCAACCCTGCCTGTAGTCTAGAGCACTCTGTCCCCAGTTGTGGCCGGAGGATAACTTGCAATAGAACACCCTGTCTTAGTCAAAACACACAGTGTCTTGGATCCTATTTCTGATCTATGGACTCAGAATCTCTGCATTGCAGCCTAGGAATACACATGTTAGCACTTAAATGTGCTCAGGCTAAAGTTGGGGACAGTTTGGGTTTTACTCTTAAGCTGGTTGAAACCCACTCTCAGAGAAATATATGAGCAGGTCCATATTCTGCATCCTTGCCAACACCACTAGATTTGAAAATTCTGCCAATTTGGTAGGCAAAAAAATAAAAATCTTGTTTTAAATTGCATTTTGATTACCAGTTCTTTTATATCCTCATTTACTATTTGTATTTCTGTGTTTTGTTTATGTCTTCTGTTTGTTTTTCTCTTGGAGTATTAGGGTAGGTCTGGTTGATTTGTTGACTCCATGAGGACTGGGATTTGGTCTTGTTCACCCTACAACCACCACTTTTAGAAACAGAGCCTGATACATAGTAGGTGCACAGGAAATAATTATTGAATGAAGGAACATTAAGGATAATAATTTTTTGTTTTTGTCATATATTTACAAACATTTTTTCCATTTTATAAATTTTCTTTTAGTTTTCTTTTTGTTTAATATAGTCATATCAGTCTTTTCATTATATGGTTTCTGCTTTGGATATCATGTTTGGAAGGGCAATAGCTCACTGATCAATAATTCTACCTATTAGAAAGTGTTTTGTTATTTGGAATTGAAATTTGATGCCCAGTCACTTCTATCCCATCGTTTCCTTTTGGCCTAAGACATGGAAAGGGATAGTCATCATCGGGTTGGAGTGAATCTTATCAGAGTTTCTGGACCAGGGGGGATTTTACCTAAATCTTGAAGAAAAAGCTGTTCTGAATTAACAAAATCAAGGTTCATTTTGAATTCTCCCTCTA